CTGACTTTTCCTCAGATTTTTTTTTAATGATCTAGAGCTACTATACTGGTAGCTTCTAGTATTATTTTTAGTATCTCAGCAACCCAGTTTCCACAAGACCTGCCCTTCCCCATGCTGCACACGCTGTGTAAGAATAGCACCTCCTTGCTCTTTCATCTTAGTCGCTGACATGCCATCCAGACTGAGGAAGACCCAGAAACTTCGAGGCCACATGAGCCACGGCCACGGCTGCATTGGCAAGCACCAGAAGCATCCTGGAGGCCAGGGTAATGCTGGTGGCATGCATCACCACAGGATCAACTTCAACAAATATAACCCAGGTTACTTTGGGAAAGTTGGTATGAGGCATTACCACTTAAGGAGGAACAAGAGCTTCTGCCCAACTGTCAACCTTGATAAATTATGGACCTTGGTCAGTGAGCAGACACGGGTAAATGCCGCCAAAAACAAGACTGGAGTAGCTCTCATGATTGATGTAGTGCAGTCCGGCTACTACACAGTTCTGGGGAAAGGAAAGCTCCTGAAGCAGCCTGTCATCGTGAAGGCAAATTCTTCAGCAGGGGAGCTGAGGAGAAGATTAAGGATGTGCGGGGTGCTTGTGTCCTGGTGGCTTGAAGCCACATGGAGAGAGTTTCATTAAATGTTAACAAGTGCTTTTCCCTTGGGAAAAAGAAAAAAGAATAGCACCTACTCTCATACAGGATAGCTTGCTCAGGATGCAGCGTGTGATCATGGTCTATATCAATGTGTGCAGGACATAATTACTCAAATTCTGTTACTGGGGAGAAGTTGCACTGTTAACACATAACCAGCACAGCTCAGGTCCTATATCTCCCTTGGAACATTTCTTCTTTAGCTTCTGGTATTTGCTATGACCTGTTATAATCTGTGCTACCTAGAAGGCCAGTGGTACTTAATGCTTACAGACATAGCTTTTTTTTTTTTTTGAGAGAGAGAGATTTTTACTATAAGGTGTGTACACTCGCTGGAGACACAGAGAGAGACAGAGGGAAAGTAAGAAATTACCCCCTGGGGGTGTCAATGGTGGCCGCGTTGCAATCCCTTCTTCTCCATTCTCCTCTTGGGATTTTTGGCACACATCTGGCATGAGTTTCAAGCTATCAGGTCTGGGACTCAAACAGCAGTTGGCCATGTGGAAGTCCAGTGCCTTAACCACCATGCCACCTGCTGGTCCATGAATATGATCTCTTTTTCTTTCTTTTTTTTTAGGGAGGTTTTGGCTATAGGGCTTGTGCACTCGCCAGAGAGACAGAGACAGACAGAGAGACAGAAAGTGAGAAATCACCCCCCCAGGGGGGATGGCCATGCTGCAATCCCTTCTCCATTCTCCTCGCAGGATCTTGGATACGCACACACACACCCCAAGTGGAGTTTAAGCCCCCAGGTCCGGGACTCGAACCGCAGTCGACTACAGGGGAGTCCAGCGACATAGCCATTATGCTAACTGCTGATCCCTGAATATGATCTCTTTACATGCACATGCAGATTTAAGTCTTGGCTCTTGAATTTTCTTCTTAATTGAGTTAGGGACAGAAACACAAACCTCTTAGGCCCTTTGATTTTATTTGAAAAATTGTAATAATTTACCCCAAGAATGCTTAAATAATAATTTAATGCTGTTAGAGAAATTACAACATTGTATAGCATTAGTATAGACTGAAAGTTACTTCCAGTTTATTAACATGTCAACTTACTTTTTTTTTTTTTTAGAAAGAGATTTTTGTTATAGGGCACGTGTGCTCACCAGAGAGACAGAAAGTGAAAAATTATCCTCCCCTAGGGGATGGCCACACCACAGTTCTTTCTCCTCCATTCTCCTCTTGGGATTTTGGGCACACGTGCCCAGTGTGAATTTTAAGCTGGTCCAGGACTTGACCCGTGGTCAATTACGTGGGAATCCAGCAACATAACCGTTATGCCATCTGCTGGTCCGAACATGTCAACTTTCTGTCATATTTCTAATGAGATTCACCTTTACCTGCATTATTTCTTTTATGTTTTCACTTTGTAATTTTTTTCATATCAGTGTTTTCTCTGACCCTAGATAATACATTTTCAAAGCACATGGTCTATACAAACACACACACACACACACACACACACACACACACACACGGCATACAACTGGAGAATTAGATGACACACTATAGTTAGAGAGTTACTCTATATATTGTTATGTGACTGAAGGCATGAAGTTATTATTATTTTTTTTCTTTTTTTTGAGAGGTTTTTGCTACAGGACGCGTGCGCTCGCCAGACAGACAGAGACAGACAGAGAGAAAGAAAGCGAGAAATCACCCCCGGGGGGATGGCCACGCCACAATCCCTTCTCCTCCATTCTCCTCTCGGGATCTTGGGCACGCAGGCACACACGCCCGGTGTGAGTTTTAAGCCACTGGGTTCGGGATGTGAACCGCGGTCAACTACGTGGGAGTCCAGCGACATAGCCATTACGCTAACTGCTGGTCCCATGAAATTATTATATAATACTGCCTTCTGTAAGTCTTTATAATAATACGCATTGGGAACCAGCAGTTAGCGTAATGGCTATGTCGCTGGACTCCCACGTAGTTGACCGCGGTTCACATCCCGAACCCAGTGGCTTAAAACTCACACCGGGCGTGTGTGCCTGCGTGCCCAAGATCCCGAGAGGAGAATGGAGGAGAAGGGATTGCAGCGTGACCATCCCCTCGGGGGGCGATTTCTTTCTTTCTGTCTCTATGTCTCTCTCTGTCTGTCTGGCAAGCGCACGTGCCCTATAGCGAAAACCTCTCCAAAAAAAAAATAAATACGCATTTACTTGAATCTGATATTTCAAAATTCAATGACTGTCAGCATATTCTTTATTTTTCCTATTGTGTACTTCTGTAATTTAAATTCATTTTTAAAGAATTATTTTTATTTCACTTTATTTATGTATTTATTTTAATTTGACTAGAGAAGGACAGAGAACAAGAGAGAGGGAAAACGAGAAAGCAAGCCACCAGGTCTGGGACTCGAACCATAGTTTGCCATGTGGGAGTCCAGTGCCCTTACCATACCATCGGCTAACCCTAAATTCTTTCTTTAGTTCTAAGCAAAAACTTTTTAGAATTCCACAAAAAAAATTTTATATAATGATATTTAACTTATTATTTCATGGATTTAACATTGTTTTATTATGATTTACAGAGAGTTTTTTAATATATTTATTATGCAGTATTACTGATAGGCACAAATTGATAATGTTGCAAAATGTGTTCTGCATAGGTATAGTTTTTCTTTTTTAATAATTATTTTATTTAACTTTATTTATTTATTTTAACTTGACCAGAGAGGGATAGAGTGTGACAGAGAGGGAGAGAGAGAGAGAAAGTGAGAAAGCAAGTCATCAGGTCTTTGACATGAACCTCACTCAGCCGTGTGGGAGTCTAGCACCCTCAACCACCACACCACCTGCCAGCCCCATGCATGGGTTTAGTTTTATAACAATTATTCAGATTTACAATGTTGTGAATACTTACAATAGCATTTCATTACATTTTTCCTGATTTTCTTTGAACTATTTTTTTTTTTGAATTGACAGATTCATTGCCAGAAAGAGTCAAAGAGAGGAAGAAGGAGAAAGCACCCCACAGTCATACATGGTCACTCAAGAATCCTTTCTTCATTTCTCCATCCTGTCAGTATTTGCGACATGTACAAACACACACCAAGGTGGTTTTTTAAGCCACCAAGGCTGAGACTTGAACCATGGTCTGCCATGTAGGATCCAGCTTCCTCAATAAAACCAGCCCATGCTTGTACTTTTTTGAGGGATGAGCAATTATGAATCACCATATGTGTATATATATTTTTTTCTTGCTATAAGGTGTGTTCACTAGTCAGAAAGAGACAGGGAGAGAGAGGGAAAGTGAGAAAGCACATCCCCCAAGAGCATGGCCATGCCACAATCCCTTTTACATTCTCCTCTCAGGATTTTGGACATGTATGTGCACATGCCTGGTGTGTTTTTCAAGTTTCCAAGTCTGGGACTTGAACTGCACAGTCAACCATGTGGGATCTAGACACCCTAACCACCATACCACTGGCAGGCCCTATATTTTTTACTAGATTAGTTTGGGCTGTGTTTTACCTTTTATTTGTGTATATAATTTTACAGTAAATAATGTATTATTATTTGTTTGATTTCATCTATGAGACAAACATATGTCCATTGGTATAATCTTTGGGGTGGTGGCAGAAAAATATTCCTTCTTTTAGGACTTGCATCAATCTGTGTAGTATGAGTGTTTTTTTTATAGAGTGTTTGAAACAAATATATAGGATATTTTAAGGGTGTGTGCTCCCATTAACATAATTCTAATTATATGTTTCATTACTACATTACTTTATTTGTTGAGACCTTCTCTTCCCTTTTAGTTATTAAATATTTAAATGTCATGATTGAAAAGCTTTAAAATTTCATTATCACTATTAGTTTTCTTGTAATATTATGTATGTCAATGTAGAATAATTATTTACCAACTTTGTTTAAAGGAAAATCAGGCCAGCTGGTGGTATGGTGGTTAAGTTGGCTGGATCCCACATGGCCAACTGCATGGTTTGAGTCCCAGAACAGGCAGTTTGAACAACATGCCAGGTGCATGTGCATGCATTCCCAATATCCCAATAGGCAGGAAAAATGGAGGAAAAGGGATTGCAGCATGACTATGGAGAATGGGGGTGGGGTATGATTTCTCACCTTCCTTCTGTATCTCTTTCTCTCTCTGTCTCTCTTTAGCAAGTGCACACACCTTTTGGCAAAATTTAAAAGGAAAAAAATGAAAAAGAAAAGCTGTGGTTCTTTATATCTTTCAGATATTTCTGCTGGATTTGCAAGCAAGGTATTATCACCAAAAGAAGATAATAGTAAAGGAGAGTTAAACCATCTGGTATTATTGGAAAAAAATGAAAGCCATGGCATCAGGGATTTTGACCCCAAGGAAGTCTGGAAAAATATGCATAAGTTTGACAACCAGTGGGCATGTAATGCGGGAAATTACGACAGAGTACCTTTGACCTATAACAAAAACCTGACTCGTAGAAAAGATCAACAACATAATAAATCCCTAGTTTGTTTTTCCTCAAAACAGAGTGTTTCTGTAAAAGAGAGTACATGCCAATATTTCATACCAGATAAACCATTTATAAGGGATTTGTTACAAGTGAAAAATAGCATAAGCCATTCTGGAAACACATATTTGAAGTGTTTTGAAAATAGGATTGGATTAAATTTACAGGCACATCTGGCTCATCTGCAGAGATTTAAAATTGATGAAAAAGCTTATGAATATAACCAAGTTAAGAAATCTATCAATAATGGATCTTCAGTTTCACCACTTCAAAGAACTCCTCCTAGTGTCAAAAACAACATTTGCAATAAATACAGGAAGATTTTTAAATACTCTAAGTTACCTTCACAGTATGGAAGAACACATTATAGAGAAAAATCATATGAATGTGATGATTGTGGAAAGGCTTTTAGCAAAAGTTCAAATCTTATTAATCATCAGAGAATTCATTCTGGACAGAAACCTTACAAATGTAATGAGTGTGGGAAATCCTTTAACCAGTGTTCAAACCTCACTAGACATCAAAGAGTCCATACAGGAGAGAAACCATACAAATGTAATGTATGTGGCAAGGTCTGCAGTCAAAATTCAAACCTTGTAAGTCATCAGAGAATGCATACTGGAGAAAAGCCTTACAAATGTAAAGATTGTGGTAAGGCTTTTATCCAACGTTCACACCTTTGGGGACATGAAAGAATTCATACTGGAGAGAAACCTTACAAATGTAGTGAATGTAGCAAAGCCTTTGCTGAGCGTTCAAGCCTTACTCAACATCAGAGAATACATACTGGAGAGAAACCTTACATATGTAATGAGTGTGGAAAAGCTTTCAAGCAATGTTCACACCTCACTAGACATCAGAATATACATCCTGGAGAAAAACCACACAAATGTAATGTATGCGACAAAGCTTTTATCCAAAGTTCAAGCCTGGTGGAACATCAGAGAATCCATACAGGAGAAAAACCTTACAAATGTAATAAATGTGATAAGGCTTTTATCAAACGTTCACATCTTTGGGGTCATCAGAGAACTCATACTGGAGAGAAACCTTACAAATGTAACGAGTGTGGCAAAGCCTTTACTGAGCGTTCAAATCTTACACAACATAAGAAAGTCCATACTGGAGAGAAACCTTACAGATGCAATGAATGTGGCAGAGCTTTTACCCAATTTGCAAACCTTACTAGACATCAGAAAGTACACAGTAAAAGGAAATATAAACAATATACGTGGTAATGCGTTTATCCAAAGCTCAAATCTTGGAGATCATCAAAGAGTATATTGTAGGAGAGAACATAAGAAATACAATGATTGAGACAAAACTTCAGCAAGTATTCAAACTGTACTCATCAGCAGTCTCCAATTTGAAGAGAACTCCTGAAACATAGTAGTGGCATATTCTTTAACCAGAGTTTACACTTCTCTTAATATCAGTATGCATGTACATCTTTGCAAGAAACATACAAATGTGTGGCAAAGTATATCCAAAGTGCAAATCTCTTGGAATGTCAGAAATCATACTATAGAGAAACTTTACAAATATAATTAATGTGACTAGCTTTATAAAAAGCTTACACCTCAGAGCCAGCAGATGGCATTGTGGTTACATTCATTGCTAGACTACCGCGTAATTGACCGCAGTTTGAGTCCTGGACCCAGCGGCTTAAAACTCAGACCGGGCACGTGTGTGTGTATGCCAAAAATTCTGAGACAGGGCCGGCAGGTGGCGTGGTGGTTAAGGCGCTGGACTCCCATATGGCCGACCATGGTTTGTGTCTTGGACCCAGTGGCTTGCTTCCTCACTTTCCCTTTCTGCCTCTTGCCCAATCTCTCTCGTCAAATTTTTTTTTTTATTTCTTTTTTTTTATTTCTTTTTTTTTCAATTTCTTTATTTGCATTCATTTACTGTACATCATTACAACATACAAAATGAGATTTTCCATCCAGAGTACACTGGATATTGTCTCAATCAAGCACATCAATAAACTTGTTATTGTCAGCAAATGATCTTCCATTTCTTGTTTTCTGTATGTTTTGCTCCCCCCCCATCCTTGGTTCCCTATCTCTTACCCTCTGCCACCTCCCGCTCTCCTCCCACACTGTCTCTGGTATCTATGTTTGCTTTCTATACTGTTTTCCCCCCACATTTTATTGAATCACCAAAGACCCTAATCAATCCAAATACCCTCATAGCAAACACAGGTGACACACACATTTCCATGAGCACAAGTCTAACTTTACGCATCCTATAAAGTAGCACCTAGCTGGGGCTACATATCATACTGCAGTCATTGAATATATTTTTTTTCCGAAACTTTTTTTTTTGTAACTCAATTTACATTCCTTCCCTAAGCATCATCACAGCACACAAAATGCAATCTCCCATCCAGTACTCACTGCATAGTGACTCAATCATGTACATTACAAAAAAAAAAATTTCCAATTCTAGTTCCTAGAATTATTTCCACCCCTCTTTCTCACCCTCTGTCCCTTCCCACCCTCCTCTCACACCACCTCCCGTGTCCACAATTGTCCTTCATTCCCTTCCCACCCACATTGCATTGATCACACAATTTCCTACATAA